ATATATATATATATATATATATATATATATATATATATATATATAAACATATTTCAGTGTAAGTTCCAGTGAGAAACTGCAGCAAAGAGATGGACATGATCGATGATAAAATGATGACAAAAACCTCTCAGGGGCACCTTCTCTGCCTCTTTAGAACAAAAACCTGAAGAAAGACAAATCATCTTTCTCCAACACTTTTTAAATCTTAATGCAAAGTCAGATTATTTTAAAAAAATCAAAACACTAAGTGCATTTCTAACCTCCTCCGTGTGCACACATCAGTTTGTGAGTCTGCATACTGCGCTTGTGTTTCTGTGGTACATGCAGATGATACTTTACAGAGACTTTATTAAATCCCTGAGGACATTTGCAGCAAGCTAGGAAATTAGAGGCCTTCAAGTGACAAACACACATAGAACGACAAACAGCTTGTCTACACAATAATGCACATATAGATGGTCTGCATTGTGCGGGGCTTCAGCGTTATTAGGATGCATTATCATAAGAAACCATCGAGAAAAACGGGACGCTGGAAAAACAGAGTGAGACAAAGAGACAAAAGCAGGAGGGGACACGGAGTTATCATCATAATCACGATGTGTTGCCGTTCCCGTTACTGAGACGGAAACCTGCAATCAGAAACTGGAGGGTGACGGCAGAGATGAGACGCACAGACAGGAGAGAGGTGAAGGAGAACAAAGAGCATGATAACATGCAGGCAAGTCTGAAAACGTAAACACGGACGTGGGAAAGGCTGAGGCGAAGGAGCGAGATCATTAGAGGCTGAAAGAATAGAGAAGCAGAAAGGCTGAGATTAAAGATGGATGAACACGGTGCGCAGCTGTGCAGCAGCTGAGAGGGGATGTGTTACTTTTTATTTGTTTGGTTAAGATGAACTGACAGGCTGTCAGCGTCCTCACTGCATGCAGCCTGCAGGTGGACACTCACCAGCCCCACCCTTGACGCTTCCTTGAGGGGCGGACATGGAGAAGACCGACAGGCAGTCGTCGTCTTGGGAGCAGCCGGCCTGGATGGCGCGGACGTAGCTGTGGCTGCGAGTGCGGAACACGCCTGGAAGATCCAGAGCCTCCACGGCTTGAGACTCCACCTCCCCGAACATGGTTTCACACACGGCCTCAAACTGATGGTTCAGCGTTTCTCCTAGCTGAAATTTTGAAATTTAGGAGAGAATAAGTGAAAGAAACTTCAGCTCATCGTGCTGAATTTAGACCCTCACGTTCCAAAATAAGTACATCGTCGTCCGTTACCTGTGAGCTGGTCAGAGAGCGCGTGTAACTGCGAGAGCGAGAGTGAGTTTTCGGTGCCGTTCGGTTGTTCGGGTAAGAATCTGTACACTGCTTACACGAGTACCTGGAAGTAACAGACAAAAATAAATAAATCTTGGATTTTGATTGGATAAAAGGAGCTGACATCGATCTTCTGGAATGACCCTCACAAAGACCTCAGCCTCAGAAAATTTATGAACACTTGAAAGCCATGCCAGGAAACAAATCGGTTTCAAAGAACTCTGCTTGTATGGGGTGCCGTTTGTAAAGTTGCACAGTAAATATTATCATCAATATTTTGGTTTAGTTAGCTTTAAATAAAAAAAAACTTTTTTTTTTCAAAGTCATATTTTCACCATGTTATTCATACATTTATATGTCATTTATATATCATAGTTCTCAACTAAATATTAATTTACAAGATAAATATTTAGTTTACAAACTAAATACTTAATTTGCAAGTTAAATATTTAGTTAAATTAGTAAACTAAATATTTTCGTATAAATTAAAAATATAATTTAAACCTAAATATTTAGTTTACTAACTAAATATTACATTTTTAAGCTAAACATTCAATTCCTAAAATAAATATTTAATTAGCTAACTAAATATTTACTTCAGACCTAAATATTTAACTTGCTAGTTAAATATTAGCAATATTATGCTAATATTGCATATTTAACTTGCTAGTTAAATATTTAGGTCCGAGCTAAATATTTAGTTAGCAAATTAAATATTTAGTTTAGGAATTGAATGTTTAGCTTAAAAATTAAATATTTAGTTAGTAAACTAAATATTAATTAACATCTAAATTGCCAGAATTTAGTTTACTAAATATTTACCTTGCACGTTAAGTATTTAGTTTGTAAACTATATATTTATCTTGTAAATTCAATTCAATACAATTTAAAAATACTTTATTAATCCCAAAGGGAAATTATTTGTCATTGTAACTCGTTATCCTCATTTCATTAAGAGATTTTATAGATGCTGATGGCTGTAGGCAAGAAGGATCTCTTGTAAATGTCCATCCCACAGTGGATCCTAAGAAACTGGCTGCAGATGCCGTCAAATCCGTCCACCCAGACTCAGCTGGCCTCTCGGTTCCCACGGGCTTTAGGACCGCCCAAATGCCAGGCAGAACTCCTCCCAGAGTGATGGCCACTCCTCCCAGCAGTCTGCTGAGCTCCTCGTCGCTGCGGACAGCCAACTGTAGGTGCAGAGGGACGATCCTGTCCTTCTGCTTTCATGAGCCGTGTTTTCTGCTAGTTCCAGGATCTCAGTGGTCAGGCACTCAAGCACAGCTGGCAGGCAGATGGGAATGCATCCACAGAACATCCTTTCACTCATTTGAGATTTGGGGCTGTAGTTGAGATATTATTTGAGCTTTTGAGATGTTAATCAGCTGCTGTTGGTTGTAGAAAACTGCCTTGTTGCCATGGTTACGCATCATAACAAATGTCCAAAACTGAAAAAGTTACAGTAAAAATATTTTGTTGGGAACTATGACATTTATAAATGTATGAATAACATGGTGAAAATACAATTTTGAAAAAAATACAACTTTTTTTAATTTATTAAAAGGTAAATAAACCAAAATATCAGTTAATTTTTGACTGTGCAACTTTACAAACGGCACCCCATATACTTGTTCAAGAAGACTGACAACTATCCAGTCATGTTCTGCCAGAAGCTTGTTGATGGCTACAAAAAGCACACAGTTGAGGTGCAGCCTGCTGAGGGATGCTGAACCAAATATTAGTGGGGGTGTATGCATATATTTGAGCTGTGCTTATTACTTTGACCCTGTGCGGATAGGAAAAATATCCACATGAATATCAAATCAGTGAAGTTATAAAATCATTCCACCCTGGAAAAATGGTTAAAATAAACCAGTAAAAGCCCAGACTTAATGTGATTTGAGATGAGTGGATGCAAGGGTCTAACTAAAATCCAGCATTTAGTAATTTACCTCAAATACAGTTTACATTCTGTGGATGTGATGCAGTAAATATACAAGATTATAGTAATGACTTTAATTATTTTCAAGTGGCCAATTAGCTGCTGCTCACAACTTAGTGCACATGTAAAGTTTTACAGTGTTTGGTAGAAATGTGCTGAACAGCTTGGATTTGAAGCAGGGCATTAATTGAGTACAGTCACATTTGTTTTTTGTCTTCTTAACATCTGAGACCATGGTCCTCAGTCAGAAAAGAGTGGATTGCTCTCTTCAGGTCAAGGGTGAGGTTCTGCCTCAAGTGGAGGAGTTCAGGTATCTCTGGGTTTTGTTAACAAATGAGGGAAGAATGGAGCGTGAGATTGACAGACAGATTAATGAAGCATCTGCAGTATTGTGGACTCTGTGCCGGTCCGTTGTGGTGAAGAGGGTGCTGAACTGTAAGGGAAAGCTCTCTGTTTACCAGTGTTTACATTCCTACCCTCACCTATGGTCACGAGCTCTGGGTAGTGACTGAACGAATGAGTTCATGGATGCAGGCGGTTGAAATGAGTTTTCTCCACAGGGTAGCTGGAGCTTAGAGATAGGGGGAGAAGTTTAGTTATCTGGGAGAGACTCGGAGTAGAACCACTGCTCCTCCACATCCAGAGGAGCCAGCTGAGGTGGTTCGGGCATTTGGTAAGGATGCTTCCTGGGCGCCTCCCTATGGAGGTGCTTCGGGCATGTCCAACTGGGAGGAGACCCGGGGGAAGACCCAGAACATGCTGGAGAGACTACGTCTCTAGGTTGGCCTGGGAATGCTTTGATGTCCTCTCAGAAGAGCTGGAAGAGGTGGCTGTGGAAAGAGATGTCTGGGCCTCCCTGCTCAAGCTGCTGCTGCAAACCGACTTGGGAATAGGCGGAAGATAATGGATGGACAATCTTAGCTTCAGATCTTTGATAAATAGTGTTTATTTATTATTTTTATACATGAATGTTTCTGTTCAGTGCCCTGAGACGACTTCTGTTCTGACTTGGTGCTATTTAAATAAACTGAATTGAATTGATTTCTTTAGACATTGAAGAAATTGTGAAACATCCTGACTGACGTATTGTTCGTCTAATTTCAGATGCTGCTTTGGAAAAAAATGTCTCAATATCTTAGCAGGTCACTGCACTGGTGTTTTACTGTTTACAATTTTATGCAAATTGTGTTTTAAACACAGGAATACAAAGCTATAATTTGTATGCACATACAATTTTGTGTAGTCATATGATGCAACGTTACTTTCGGGCTACACTAATAATGACCTAAGACATTACTGTCACTATCCAAAGCACAGGTACAGGAAAATTTAGCTGTGAAGATAGTTATTACAAAAAATTCATTTAAAATCCAATGTCACTGTAAAATATGAGCTTAGTTGAGAAGAAAGAATTGTTTCTTAAAGATCCAGTCTTTACCATCTGTCACTGACTGACCTGTGAATGTATTACCTAACCATTCAAGCACATGTTTTAATATGTTCTTGTCTGATTGTGCCACAATTTCTGTCGTTTTTCTTTCATTTTGGTAAAATGAATAAAATACCCAACCTTCTTTTCAACTCTGTACCTTAGACACATTTGCCAGTAAAAACATAATGTCAAGGTGTAAACTCTTCACATGACTGTACTGGCATGGTGATACCTTTAACAAGTATTACAAAGCTGCAGTTTATCAGGTTTATACAACGTCGACCCCCAATGTAGCAGACCAAGGAAG